TGTTGTTCTTGGTTAGATGCCTTCAAGACGGTCTTGTGGCTCTTAGCTGCCCTTGAGTTGACTCTGACATGGTGACCCTGTGGATGAGACGTCTTCAAGTCCTCCTGTCCTCAATCTGCTCAAGTCTTGCAGACCCAGGCCCATATCTTCCTTGACCGAGTCTAACCATCCAGCATGTGGTCTTCCTCTCTTTCTAGTGCCTTCCACCTTTCCCAGCATCATTGTCTTTTCTAATGATAGTGATGCACACCGATTTTCCATCCTTGGTATCCACAAAAGCCTCCAGGGATGCAACTGACCATTTCAAGTCTCTCTCTTTCCTCCTTCTTGGGCATGTAAAGAGATCTTGTAGCACCTTTGAGGCCAACTGAAAGAAAGAGGTTGGGAGCATGAGCTTTCGTAGACTCTTGAGCCAACTTCTTCAGAGGAGGCATGCTTTAGACCAGGGGTAGGCAACCTTTCCCCTTTAAGGGCCGAGGGACTTCAGCTCCCAGAATCCCAGGAGCTATTGGCCAACATGGGACTATTGGCCAACATGGCTGAGGCTTCTGGGAGCTGAAGTCCCTCAGCCCTTAAAGGGGAAAGGTTGCCTACCCCTGCTTTAGAAGTTAGGCTCAAGTCTACGAAAGCTCCTGCTCCCAACTTCTTCCTTTCTGTTGGTCTCAAAGGTGTGACAAGACCCCTTTACAGAGTGTTCCTCTTAGAAAGAAGAGTCTGGGGGGAACCAGGTGGCCTTCGCACCTACAAAAAAGGGAAGGCAAAATCAAACAGGACAACCCAAAGCCAGATTCTTGCTTTTACAAGCTCTGAAAAGCTTGGTTTGCAAGCTCTGAGAACTGGGACGCCCTTGAGGGCTTCATAAAGCTCTCCAAGTATGTGAGGGAGAGACATGGTCTGCTTTAATGAGGAGAAGTGCCCCATTGAGATCAACCTCAGCATCGCCTTGCCTGGAGACCCGGCGTCCAGGAGAGGCTGACCACAAAACGCGTCGGCTCCGACCACAGCCAGGCGGCCAAAGGAGTCCTTTCACGGCCACCTCTTGGGTGAGGCTTCCAGCCCAGTCCAGTCCAGCCCTGGTCGAGGTGTGCGAGGGGAGCTTGTTTTCAGGGAATCCTTGTGGCCTTTCTATAAAAACGTGCTTTTGGGGGAGAAAGTAAACATGCAATACAAGGGCATGGGCTGACACTCGGCCTTGGAAATGGAGGATGCTGAAAGGAGCAACCAGAGAAAGAGGAGATGCAGTTGCAGAAGATGCGGGAGATGAAGATGAGGAGGGTGAATTTATTCATTTCTATCCTGATTTTGTTCTAAAACGGAGACTCGGTTGCAAAAATTAAAACAAATATAGGGATGCCTCCATAATTGCATCCAAAACATCTGGAAGGCCAAAGGTTTAGGATGAAGCAGGCAACTCCGACAGGTCTGGGAGCCACTTTTTATGCCCTGGTACCCTCCAGGGGTTCAGTAATTTTAGGCTGCAACCGCACTGCAGAAATAATCCAGTTTGGCACCACTTTAACTGCCATGGCTCAATGCAATGGGATTCTGGGAACTATAGGTTTGGGAGATATTTAGCCTTCTCTGTCAGAGAGCTCTTGTGCCGCAACAAACTACAAAGCCAACGATCTCATAGCCTTGAGCCATGACAGTTAAAGCGGTGTCAAACTGGATTGTTTCTGCAATGCAGATCCAGATTAGGCTCAGCACTTTGGAGAGCTCTTTTTAAAGTTGAAACTAAAACACAGTCTAAAATCTGCTGCCCCTCTGCCAGCCATACCTGGAGGTCAAGCCAAGAAGGGCACACTTCAAGCTGGGCTCCCAGTTCTTGTGCTTTGGTCCAGAGAAGCTTTTCTTCTTCCCCCAAAATTCCTGATTTTCCATGAGCTGTCCAAGAGCCATGGATGCGATGCCTTTTTCAAGCATGATTAGCAGCGGCTACTTTGATTCTATTTTGTTTTGTTCCTTTTAAAGACATAAATAAAGAATCAAAGAAATCGCTTCGTTCCTTCCCAGGGCCATGTCTGAAACTGGATCGTTCCCAAGTCCGAGTTCAAATCTCTTCCCAGTAGACCATCCATGCTACAGAGCAGGAGTGGGCAACTCCAAGAGGACCAGGGACGTATCACCAACAACAATCTGAAAGCTACCAATGTCTGCTTCCAATTATTATTATTATTATTATTATTATTATTATTATTATTTTCTTATATCCCACTTTTTTTCCCAACATAGGGACTCAAGGCCTCCTCTGCTGCCAGCCATCTCTCGAAACCTTCCACAGGCTTTTGACAAATTACACAGCCCCCCTTTTTCTCTTTTTCTTTTTTCACTCCCTGGCCAAGAGGGACATGTTTAAACTCCTGCCACCCTTTGATGTTAGATGTTTGACATACTTTCCTCCCCGAACATTGGGGCCATTGTTCCTTGACCCCTTCGCCTTGCCTTGCCTTGCCTGGGGGTGGGCAATGGGAGACGGGGACCATGGATGGTGAAGGCATCTTTGGATTCCTCTCCAAGGGTGCTGGGCTGGAGGACACGGTTCGCTTGGGGAATCAAGAGGAATAACAGTTAATGATTGACCAGCCTTCTCCTCCTCCTCCTCCTCCTTCTTCTTCTCCATCATCACATCCATCCATCTGCAAGCTTTGGTCATTTTGTCGGCCCATTCATCAATGAAACCTACGTCCGTTTGGACAGGGATCAAACAATGTTGCCCAGTTGGGTAGAAGGGCAAGGAGCCATATATTAGATCCAAAGCTTGGGGAAGTTTCTCCTCCTCCTCCTCCTCCTCTTCTTCTCTTCCTCCTCCTCCTTCTCCTTGACTACAACTCCTACAATCCCCCAATTCCCATCATCCTTCACCGTGGGGCTAGCGTGGCATAGTGGTTTGAGCACTGGACTACAACTGTCTGGAGGTCAGGGTTTGATTCCCAGCTTGGCCATGAAACCCACTGGGTGGCCTTGGATGAGTCACAATCTCTCAGCCTCCGAGGATGGCAATGGCAAACTTCCTCTGAGCTTGCCAAGAAAACCTCACAATTGGGTCGTCATAAGTTGGAAATGACTTGAAGGCACACAACAGCAACAACATATTTGGAGATTGATCAAACAATATTTCCCAGTTGGGTAGAAGGACAGGGAGCCATGCATTAGATCCAAAGCTTGGAGAAGTTCCTTTCTTTTTTCTTTCTCTTTTTGATTACAATTCATACAATCCCCCGATTCCCATCATCCTTAATCCATGGGGCTATACTACAGGGCAAGGGGCAAAATGAAAGCATTTCATTTCTTCCCCCCCCATAAAACTTCCGTCCCGCACCATGAACTTTCCCTTCAGTCCCCAAATTTCTAGCGTTGCAGTAACTTAAAACTCCAATTGTGCATTGAGAAATAGAGTTTAGGTGTGAAGAACTGTGCAAACCATCCCAGGAGGGGAAAAGGATGGGTTGAAAAAATGAAAGAAAGAAATCAATATCATCATTTATTTCTTTTATGCTCATATTTTTACCTTTGGGTCAAATGCTTTTCTCTTCAAAAGCACATCAACTCCAAAACAGTGAACTCCATAAATCTTCATTAAAAAAATTTGTTCCACTAAAAGGGCCCAAGCAGTGTCTTGTCCATGAAACTGTCACTGTTTTGATCCGTACCGCCAACAACAGTCGCATGAAGATAACAGAAGCCTTAAAAGGCGATGGCTCAAGATTAATCAGATATAAAGTTTTATTTCATTCCGTAATAGGAACCAAATGCACGCATGGCAAGCAAGTGGGGGACAAAATGCACGGATGGTTGGAAAAAAACATTTATCCTATTTCCCTCGTGGATGCCAAAATCCATGGATGCTCAAGTCCCATTAAATACAATGGCATAGTAAGATGGTGTCCTTTATATAAAATAGCAAAAATCAAGGTTTGCTATCGGGAATTTATATTTTTTGTTTAATATTTTTCAAGCCATGGATACTTGAATCCGTGGATAAGGAATCCGTGAATACAGAGGGCCAACTGTAATATTTTTCCCCCTCTCCAAAATGAAATGTCTCATCAGTCCCCAAATTTCTAGCATTGCAGAAATGTAAAACTTCAGTAGAATATAGCCATCCAAAGTAAAGGAGCAGGGGAAGGCAACGTTACCAGAGGAAGGCAAAATTCAGCAAATAGATGAGTTCTTGGTGCAAACAACATTCAGTGCCTTACTGTCCGCAATGCTAGAAATTTGGGGAGCGAAAGAAAAAAATCATGCTGCAGAATGGATGCAGTTTGACACCCCTTTTAACATGGCTCCATCCGGTGCAATACTGGGATTTGTAGTTTGTTGTGACCCCAGAGCTCTCTGGTG